TAAATATCTTTCTTTGAAATTTTATGTTGTAAAGTGGAAAGAAAATTATACATGATTTGAAGGTTTGTAATTTTTTTATAAATTGAAAACTATTTTGAGCACAAATGTTCAGCCCCCTTAAATCAGAGAGTAACTTCTAGTCTTCATAAGTTTCCTGATGATTGCTAATGGCATAATAGTCAGCCTGTGTGTCATCTAATCACAGAAACCAACTATTTTCACCGACCTGAGGCTGTCACTAGCTGCTGTATTTGTATTTGACATTAGTTTACACACGGGTGGACTCCATAGCCATTTGTAATCATTAAAGCTATTTCTGAAGGAATATTGGTTACAGAAAAGGGAGCCGATTACTCTTACACACCACACTTTTCAGTATCATTTGTAAATACAGTACTACTAGTACTAGTACTACTACTACTACTACTACTACTAATAATAATAATAATAATAATAATAATAATGTGTTACATTATGTATAATTTCATTTCCACTAGTAAGTGTGTACTTGTGTTGGTCTCTCAAAGAAAATTACAATGAAATTGTTTTTGGTTGTAATGTGACAAAATATACAATGACTCAAAGTGTATTAATTTTTTTCAGAGGCATAACGTAATATTTAGATTTTACAACTCTGACCTGGTGTAAAATCTGATGTCTTCTGGTGACGTAGAAAAACGTTCCAGTCCAAACGGCTTTTGAAGACTACAGGATCGGAGCTGCTCTTTCAGTTGCTCAATTTCTCTCAGCATGCTGTGATATTGCTCCCGGTCAACACACACGGTTCTGCTGGCGCCGTAGTCATGGTCCACGACCATAGGTACCATGACGGGTGGTTCATTGTCCTCAATTGGATCCGCCGAATCAGGTTCTGGATTAGATGGTCGACAACGGCGCTCCCAAACACCTGCTCGTGTCTTCCTGCTGTATTTGTTCCACTCAAATAATGATGGAACCGACCCAGCTGCTAAAATTCGTCTTCCCTTTTCTGTAGTAATTACTTCATTCTCCAGGAAATGTCGGCTACATACCTTGGTGTGAGGAGTTACCGTAAATCCCTCTCTTCTGATTTTTTGCAGCCAGCACAAACGAAGGCTTGTCTCCTTAGGGAAACGGTGAAAGCTCAAACGGCTATTATAGCGACCTGAAGACGAGCAAAGCGGCACACAACAGTGCTCCTTAGACCCAAACACCGTCGGCTGAAATCTAAAGCTGCCACGCACGTTATATTTTTGTTTATTTGACGCAGCAACACTCATTTTAGTTGTTTATCTCTGGGATGACAGGATACAGGAATTAAACCGGAAACTGGAATGCCGACATCCGGTCAAAGCGGAAGTGATTCAGGACGCATGTGCACAGAGCCTAATGATGCTTCAGCCATGTCACGTTTTTCTTTTGAGCAAAACAACAATTTGAACCAGTTTAACTAAATCTGTGTTCCGGTTCTGCCACTAAATACAAACGGATGGTAACGTTTTTTGTCACTGTCTGCGTGTATTTATTTGTTTGTTTAAAAAAAAAAACCTCATGCACCAATGGACAGATTTTAATGAAATTCAAAGCACATCTACAACTAATTAACGTTTGGAGTGAATCATATTTAAGAAGGCCGCCACAGCTAAACTACTTTAGAAACACTAAAACACCTGTAACTCATCCAGTTTTACAGTTGTTGAGCTAAAATTTGTTGTTAGTAGCTGAGAGTCATCCCCAACTTACACACCGAGCACCAGCCTATTGCACAGCTCATTGCATGAGGCAGCACATGATGTCATTCTCAAGGGTTGACCGTAATAGCTTTAACTCTGCCATTAATTAGTTTAAGATTGGTATGAAAGGCAGGGGTCGATATGCATTCCTTCGAGGAATATTAGCTCTTTAAATTCTGTCTGTCCTCACTTACCCATGTGAACTTTCAAACAAGTTTAACTGTAGTGATTATCAAGTCTTAAGAGGTAAATTAATCTGAACAAAAATGTCAAAAGTGTGCTCCTTCTGCTCAGCTTTAAAGTAAATTGAACATTTACCCATCCACACAGCACTCTATTATCTCTACGAAGCTAATCTGAATAGAAGAATAATCAGAGCTTTATCACAAACGTCTCTCTTGTAAATGAGTCCCCGAGGCTCAATGGGACTAATCTGTATAAATAAAGGTTGAAAGAACATAGAAGGCAATGGGTTCAGTGTTTAGCCCAGGGATACTTCAAAATGTGACTGCTGGTGGAATCGAACTCCCAACTCTCCCGTTGGAGGACGACTGCTCTGGACACTCACCCACAGCTGCCCCATATCAAAGACATGTACCGTATTTTTCGTCCTATAAGTCGCGTTTTTTTGCATAATTTGCATGCCCTGCGACTTATACACTGAAGCGACGTATTTATATGTTTTACCCTCATATTCATAAACCATTTTTTGTCTGAGATATGACGGTTTGATTCATTCTGACTGAAAATATTGAACGCTACCATTTTTACCCACTAGATGGCACTCGAGTTGTATGGCATGCTGTTGTGTCATGTAATAGGTAAAAGTGGCTATTAATGACACAATTGGCTTGCCACAGAATGCCACCTTCGTCCAGCTCGCTTGGAGCAACAGTCAAATCAGCTTCATTTCGCTGTGCCGCCCCAGAGAAACGCAACTGATTTGAGCATTAAAGTGCATTTATTAAGAAAAACTTCAGATGAGACACACCTTTACTATAATGTCGAGCAAACAAATAATTGTTTTTAAGTGTTAGTCTTGTTAAATTCTTGTTAAAGTCCTCCCATGCACACTCCCGCAGCCGCCATTTGGCAGCCAATCGATTTTTAGCACACCGGCCCGCACTTCTGGGTTGTCACCGTGACGCGTAACAAATGCGACACGTCAGCAGTGACGCATAATAGATGGGACGTATACGGCGAAGCATTTATGGATTTTTCCACCTTATTAGACATACTTGAACTGATGAGACTCATAGGGCAGTGCGACTTGTACGGCGGAAAATACGGTAATTTAAAAACATTGGCTGATTTAATATTAATCCTAAAGTTGGTATGAAAAACTGATACTGGTAATACATTGATGGAATAAATATTGTACAGTAGTTAGATATTCCATTTGTTTGTTCACACTGTTATGCTCATTTGACTGTCGCTTTAAAATACTGTCATCATCAAAACTTGCTTTTTTCTCTCTAAGACAAGCTGATTTGAACCCTGGCCCTTTGTCTTCATCAAAAATAAACCAGTTTGTTTTACTTGTCCTCCCAGTTCAGTCTCAAAACTTAAAAAGAATCAGATATTATTATAACTGCTGCTGTTTCTACAGTTCCTCAGTACGTCGATAAAAGTGAAACCATATATGGCAGCAAACTGTAATCTAATTAATAAATGCAATCGGTGGGAGGCCGAGTTAAAGCTGAAGAATGTTGAGGAGAAAACAAACCGAGGAGACGAGGGAGGTTTACAAGGTAATTCATCCTAATTGCTGCCAGGCTGCTCTCCACAGGGGGTCTCAATTGAGATGCGAGTGGGAGCAGTAATGAGTATACGGGCTCTTTGTGTTGTAGCAGAACAAATGCATGCCTCTTGCTGCATCTTTTGAATTCAGTAGACAATACAGCCTGTCCTGCACTACAACTTCATTATGGCAGCTGTAGTGAATGAAATGAGCTACAGTCTTTTAAAACATTTACAGTGCAGAAGCTGATAAAAGTTACTGCTTCACACTTTGCTTTTCTCTTAGGGACACACTAAACAGGTTATTAACATTCACACAAAGTTTGCAATCATCAATTATCTTCAGTTTTCCTTGACACTCCAGTTCACTGACTCTCTCCGTTGTAGCTCCCTCACTTGCATTTCCAGCTGTGAGAGCACATCAGCTGAAAACCTCTGCTGAAAAAAGCTGAACGCTAATGCTTTCCTGGCAATCTCCCTTATTTATGGATTAAAATCTGGTATAATGGTGCACATTTCAACATCATGAAGACGGATGAAAAAAAACATGAAGTAATTAACAAAATCCACCCACTATTTTTTCTCATATCACTGTTTTTGTGTCTGTCTGCAAAATTTGTGATTGGTTGCCAGCTATGACGTGCGTTTGTTTGCCTGCACAAAAAGCTGAAGCCAAAGAAAAATGATCACCAATGGTGATGTCTACAGATCGACTTTATTGGAACGAGAAGTCAGAACAGTTGTTTTTCCGTATTGATCTGTATTTAAATTTCAATCCAAATCAAAATAGCCTAATTTGTGAAGATAACTTCTGATTTAGGTTATAAAGATTCTGAGCATTACACAAGAATATAAATAAAACATTGAAACACTTATTACTGGCCAGCATAATGCAGGTCTAACATGTGACTCAAGCTTCCAATTGGTTTTTATAAGGTTTTGAGCTTTGTTTACATTGAGTGCGTACCCACATTTCAGAATTGGTTATCATTATATGGAAAACTATTCAGTTCAATTCAGTTTGGTATATATTTAAATATCTGGAAAACTACTGGAGTAAACTCTTTCAAACTGGACCATTTGATGAAACTTAGAATAACCTTTTTTTTATAACTGTAATTGCATGATTTACAACAACTAACTTTGAATAGTTATTTGCAAATATCAATTTTAACAGTTTTTCTTTCTTCTTTTTTAATTTTCAAACAAATATATATCATGTTGCTCACTTTAGTGAGCCAACTTTAGGCCATAATGTCAAAGAAGTGTGTAACTGTTTCTTTAAACAAAAAAAAAAAAAGTATCATTTTTCCATCTAAACTCCTCCCCTCTTCTTTCTTCGTCTCTTCTGCCACTAAAAAGCAGCAACCTGTTGTTCCTGATCTGGAATCAGTTCGGGTAATTGTCCTCGCGCTCGTTAAAACGAGCAGTCCCCGCTCTGTTGTTCTGTTGAACTGCTCTCAGGTCTGCTGAGACAGACCCGCGGTTTTCCCTCCCTCCTGCCATGGTAGCCCCGCAGCAGCCCTTCCTTTCGCTCCATTTGAGAGCCACTGTTCAGGCCGGCTGTTTCCCACGCCTCCATACCGCAAGCTAACAAAAATAAGCCACCTCGGTGCCATGTGGAAACTATAAAAAAATATTATTTGTAACTATGCTAATTCCGAATCGACCGAACGACGCGGGAATTGGATCAAATTTTCCTGTAACTACAGTAACGACATGAGTAACTACAAAGTGGACCTGAAGTTTTCTGGACTGCGTTCGGTTTTGTAATAATGGCATGGATTTTGAGTTTATGACGATTTATTTTCATCAACATTTTCAACAACCTGGGAGTGTTTTACGCATGTGTTTTGCATTTTATGGACCGTTTTTTTTAACACGAAAAAGAGCAGGAGACGCATTTCCACCCGTTAGGAATTCGACGCCTGAAACTTGAAGTGTCCGTGAACGTTGCAGGTAGCTAGCTAGCTTGTTAGCTAGTTTGGAGGCTGTTTTTGATGTTTGCTCACCATCGTAACAAACACAAGACATCCAACTTCGTGTTAACGCGGGCTGTAGACATTTTTTTTACGCAGCTCCTTTGAGCTGAAAACTTTCTGCGAGGTTTCGCAGCCGTTGGGATTATTTTTGTTGTTGTTTGTTTCAAAGTGTGAAGTCGGTGCAACTCAGCCGTTAGCCTCCGCAGCTAACAGTCAAGACATGCCGCAGCTGAGCCGCGACGGAGACGACCTGGGAGCGAATGATGAGCTGATCCCGTTCAAAGACGAAGGGGAGCAGGAGGAGAAGCGGAACGTGTCCGCCGGGCGGGACCTGGACGATGTCAAGTCTTCCCTTGTCAACGAGTCGGAGACCAACAGCAGCTCCGACTCTGAGGTGAGTCAAGTGGGCTCAGCTAAAATGTGGAGGAAGGGTTGTTGTCTGTCGCTGACTCTTTGTGGCTGTGTGTTAGCAGGCAGACAGACGCCCCAATCCCCATCCAGATGTGGAGAGAGCCAGGCAGAGCCAGCTGTTTGAGGAAGGTACGGGACATCCATGTTTCTAATGACTCGAGGCTACAAGTAAAGGTCATTTTCAGGGCTGAACACATTAGGCAGTGATAATTATGTAATCATGAATTGGGTATAACTTTTCTATGTCTAACTTTGTTACAACAATTACTGTATTTGATCAGATTTGGTTAAAACCAGTTTTTCTGCTGCATGCTTTAGGCACATAATATAAACTTGTTTTTCGAAGAAGAAATACTTTTCATTCATTCAAGCTTTATTTAAAGAGGTAAATCCCATTAAGCCTCGAGGACTCATTTACAAGAGAGACCTGATTACAGTATGATATGATTCCGTTTTTAGTTGTGAATGCCACTTCAGCAACACTTAATAGCTTTATTATTACCTGTCTGACTTTATTTGTCATATCCAAAAGCTTTTTTTTTTGTACCTACAGTTAACTACTGATAGTGAGAGAGTCACATTCGCACCACGTGGTACATTTGGTGGAATGAAATTGTGTACACAGGGTCCCAGTTACATCCATCAAAAGTATAAAATGTAAAAGAAAAGCAGTAATAAAATCCAAGATATGAACTAAGAAAAACATTAACTAAAATACTAAGCACAAGTAGTATGAAAACAATACGCCAAACAGCAGCACGAACATGAGTCTGTGTGAGCAGATGAGCATGAATGAACACAGCAGCATGAAATCAATCAGCACACATGATTATCCTGGTTAGTGTGGATTGTGACATTTTTAAAGTTTTTTTTAACTGTGTGTGTGTAACATCATGTTTAACAACTTTAGGCCTAAACAGCCTCTCCTGAGACAGAACATTCAGTAGTAAAACTTAAAATGATCCTATATTTAACAGAGAAGCACTTTCCCAGAGCTCGTGGTGACGTTATGAGACTCATTTACCAGACCTTAGCTCCCTGCAGAGTTACAACCTACAACACATTCCACTGTAGTTTTTTACAAGCTACACAATAGTTGCACTCTCCATGAAGACGGGACTGATTTTCATGTTGTAAATCACACGGCGTTCTATAAATGTTTATTTCAGACACTTAATGGCTTCAGTGTGCTGTTGAGCTTTATTTGTTCATCCAGCTATCGCAAAAAAAAAGTTTGTTCAGACACATTTAGCAGCCGTCACATAAATAAGAAGTGACTGCTTTTGGTTTTAAAATGGTTCATGTGGAGTGTTTGTTTTTGTCTGATTCTAAACTTATTCCTCAGCCCTGAGGAGACAGCAGGGTGCAGGCCTCTTCCAGCCGTCTCCATATGTCGGGTATCCATTCTTCATGCTTCCTGACCTCGGGAACTTCTGCAACCCCTACCTCACCAACGGAGCCCTCACACAAAGTGGTCGGACGGTAAGAGCGCCGCAGACACACTGCTATATTTACAGAACATGCTGTGACTAATCCCGGAGCATTAGGAGGTTGGCTGGTGTTTATTTTTCATTCTGTTTCCTAAAATGCCTTTTAGTCAGCTTTGTAAATATGTTTAGAGTGTTCATGTCTCCTGATAACTGTATTTACATACAAATACAGAAAGGGTAACTTTATTAGTCTCTTATTAAGGTGATGTAATTTACAGCCTGTTAATGTTGTGGAGTTTCAATGTTCTGGTTTATCTGACTGAAATTTGTCAAAGCGTGTTTGGGTCAAGAGGCTTGTGCTCAGCTGTTTCCAACACTAGGGATGTCTCATTGTAGCCATTACTGGCGTAGGTTGATATAAAACTGGATAAGTGAGCAGAATTGTGATCATTTGTTTATTTACCATGCATCAGTTGTTTACAGTATGGTGAAAATGTGTCATCTTTGTGGTTTAGGTTGTTGGTTGAATGAAACATTCCCTGAATTTTAGGGAATTTAAGACTTTGGTTCTGTTCAGCCATGGCATTAACATGCTTCCTGGCTGATGTGGTCACAAATGGACAGCACTAAGTACGAGTGTTGACAGTAAAGTTTATCTGCAGTGATCAGATCGTATTTAGCCGTTCTTCATGCCAGTAAACATATAGCCACATCACGCAGTGTCAGCTGAGCCACTGAGCTGAGCAAGTCTGCTGATGTTTCTGTAAAGTCACCAATACGTTCAGTCATCTGAGCTATATTTTGATTTTAACGTGGTTCAGAGTCTCTTGAGTTGGTCTTGAGTTGGCCATTTGTGGAGCTACTTACACAACTCCTGATAAGCCTAACTACAGTGTGCATCAGACACAATATGAGAAAATGTTTTTAAGAAATCACACATTTGTGACTTCGCAAAGCTCGGTGTGGTCCAGGACCGTTAACAGATGTGGATAAAAGTATATCAGGCAGTCAGAGTGAAGCTGTCCTCATTCTCTCTTAAAAACATTTAACCACGTGCAGCTGTAGTGAAATGACCAGAATGATAGTTGGAGCCAGGTTTAATCCGACTGGTAAAGATAGAATATATCTGGGCATTAATATTTTATAAGACAAAACAAAGGTAGAAAATAAGCAGTGGTTTAATTCTACCACTGAAAGCTGAAAGGAAGGCAATGTTTATCGCCTTGTGCACACACGTCTGTTAACAAAAAAATTATGTACCACTGGACAGTTGTAATGGAAATTTGCAGAACTTAAATCATTTTATATCTGCAACCAATTAGCTTTTGGTATCTCAATTTAAGAAAGCTTCCACATCCTATTTACATTGAAAACTCAAAATTATATGACTGTATTGAGCTAGAATCTGATTTGGTAGTAGCTGAGACTTCTCAACATATTCTGAGTGTGACATCCTGCGAGATCCCATGAAATTGTGCTTAACGATACCTTCAAGTTTTGACAGAAAGACTTCAGCTTTGCCATGTTTGGTTTATGATGATCGTTTAAAACTCTGGTATGAAACACAGGTGACTGTGAGACTAATTTATGAGCCTGTTCAAACCTGTGACCTTCTTGCTGCGAGCCAACTGCTCCACCGTGTAGCCCATTGTGGGAAAATTGTTTTGCAAATTGTAACATAAATACTGCTGCCTGCAGGCTGCAGGTATGTTGTGTCAGTTGCATTTGATTTGTGTGCACCCATGCATGTGCGTGTGCAGCCAGCAGGCTGTTTTCATGGGATGGTTTGATGGTTCAGGGTTTCAGACAGGCCTGGACACATCTTGCCTGCCTGCAGCAGCAGTGATCTTTGATTGAGACTGCATGTGTGTTGCCCAATATCCTGTCTTTGCAGCTTTGTGGAGGATCAGCCTGGATTAGACGAATACTCGCTCAAAGTTTAATACATCAACACTCGGCCATTAATTTAAATGTACTCAGCATTCATTGTGCAATGTCATGAGGACTGGACAAAAAAAATTCAAAGCAGGAAACAAAATCCACACTATTTTTCTTGTATCAGTAGTTCCTGTCCATATGTTTAAAATGTGTGAACATTTCTGACAGGATGTCAACTATCACACGTTTGTTTTTATCTACAAAAACAGCAGGCATCACTGACAATTGGTCAAACAATAAACTTACTGGTTTAGCAGAAGTTTTTTTGCTAAAAGCCACTTTATGTTTGAATTCCAAGCTCTGTCTTTGTTTCTCCACATCCCTGCTTGATTACCATGACTTACTGTGACTGTCGTCTTATTTGAGCTGCTGCCTTCTCAATAACAGGCAGTGAAATGTTCACCTAATCAAGTGTCCCACGCCGCCTACGTTAACTGAAGAAAACACTTTTTTTAAATCCTTCCCGTTTTCGCTATCACTGAATGTGCTCAGGGTTTCCACAGGGTATTAAAAGCATTCAATTTGAATCTCAGTGGGAGCAAATATTTTTCATTTGTTTAAAAAAAAAATGAGATGAGTGATTTTGGAAACACTCAGCTGGACTCGCTCATTGGGGGGGGGGATATATTAAAATAACACCCAGAACCATTATGAATTGTTTCAGGCTGGTTGGTGCTCAACTGTCCAAAGATTGCGCATTAAAGGGAAAACGCAAAGACTTCATGAAGGAGTAGAAACAAAATAATAATAATAATAATGTCATCACAATGTCAGCACTGTATGTTTCCATACAATGGCGAAATTAGTCTCTGCATTTAACCCATCCACCACATGAGTAAATGCTAACAACTCCAGCTAAAGTGGCTGGGAAACGAGGAGTTTAGAGTACGTCTGCAGCCCGTCAGTGCATTGTTGATGCAGGAAAAAATGGAGCTTCTGATGGTCAACATCAGAAGAATCAGAATAAGCTTTATTATCATTGCACCGAGGTACAACGAGAACATGCACGTACAGTCGTCCGAAGATGAGTGGAGACATGTATGTCTTCACCGGAGCACAGAGGGGGGGAAAAAACCCACGAGGAAAAGTGTACAGGTGTTGTGCCAAAATATGTTTAGCTGCCGTGGGAGCACACACATTCTGTTACAGTGTCTCTGATTCGCTGTTTTTTTTTATTAGTTCTTGAATTAAACAATATTAACAGTGAAAGACGTATATTCGAATGCCTGATATTATAGTAAAGATGTCTCTGTTAACTTTAATATTTTTACCCAAAACTCACAATGCTCTTTCCGCAAGAATGTCAGTTTCACATATTCATAGTTTATCATAAATATCTGCAATTTTACATGCTTTTAGCAACAACAAAAAAATAAGGTTAGGTTAATCTAAGGTAAATCACATATTCACGGTCTCTAATTAATGGCTCTGCGCTCTGTTTCAGTTTTACTTGTCCATATTGTTGTACTTAATAAAATACACACATTATGTATGTGGTGGTAATGTAGACTAATGATTGACAGTAGACCTGGGCCTGAAGGCAGTCCAACAGTGACAGTAGTGATAGTAAAAATATATATACATAAATATATATATATATAAAATTGTGATGAGTTAATTATTTTGTTATATTACTTATAGATGATTATTGTTTGAATTGATTTTGTTTTAAACAAGGGGCAGATATGATAAGATTTTTTCTTCTTCTGCTACCTTTCATTTTATGACGTGTTTTTTTTTTTTCTCATTTTGTTTCTAAATTGTTTTTGTGTTTTTAAATATGAAATGAATAAAAATGACAAACAAATATACACACACACGGTGATGCTCCATGCCTGTTTTGGTTCTGCTCATTTAAGTAAGTTTGAATTTAAAATTAAAACTTGTAAACAAGGCACATGATGCAATCTTATTTAAAACAAAGCAAAATTTGTGTAATAGTTTATCCATTCAGTGGCATCAAACAGAGCCACTGAATGGATAAACTATTCCTTTTTGGGGTCACGGGGTTCACTGGTGTCCGTATCCAGCAATCACTGTGTGAGAGGTGGGGGACACCCTGGACGGGTCTCCAGTCCATCACAGAGACACGTAGAGACAAACGAGACAAACAACCATTCACTCTCACTCACACCCAGGGACAATTTAGAGTTACCAATCAGCCTAACATGCATGTTTTTGGTTTGTGGGAGGAAACTGGAGTAACTGGAGAAAACCCACGCATGCACAGAGAGAACATGCAAACTGCACCCAGAAAGGTCCGCTGGCCAGGATTCGATCCAACAACTTTCTCGCTGAGAGGCGGCAGCTCTACCAACTGCACCACTGTGCTGCCCGGGCATTAAAATGCTTTAAAGACAAAGTTTACGTGTTCACTGTTGACGGCATACAAAATGTAAAATATGGCCTTAAATTGGCATTAAAAAAACAATAAATTTGATTGGCTGATTTCTGCACAAACACTAGTAGTACACACCTAATTTGAGTTTGTTTGGATCGGTACCAACCAGTGGTGGAGAAAGTACTCAAACACTGTACTTAAGTAAAAGTGCAAATAAACAGACAAAAATGTAGTCTAGTAAAAGTACCACATTAACATTTTTATTTAAGTTAAAGTAAGTAAGTACTTGCATTTAAAAATACTTAAAGTATTAAAAGTAAAAGTACTTGTCACATAAAGGAGACAGATACTCTGCTGAGTGACAGAATTGTTGTTGGACGTACAGTATATCTACTGTATACAGCAAGAAACATTTTCAAACACTGGCTGTGAGAGTCTCGGCCATGGGGAGCCATTTTAATGTGTGATCTGTGTGTGTGTGTGTGTGTGTGGGGGGGGATGTGTGTCTTTTTAGTTGTTATTTTGTACGGCCAATTTTTCCAACTGTTCCAGAGTTCATAATTTTTTGTGTAGTCACAGCAAACAAAGGGAAGTTTTTGAGCTGCATGCATTCAGGTGGAAAAGCAACTAAAAAGTGATCGATGCCAACATGGCCGGCCTTAGACAATTTAGTGCCCTAGGTAAGATTTTAGGTGGTACCCCCAGTAGTTTTCCAAGGGCATAATTCCCTGGAAATTAAAAATAAATTCTTCCTAAATTCTTAGGATTAATGA